GCTTTTCACAGATAAGCCGATATATCTATATGAATATGAAAATCTCAATGGGAATATATAATCCCCTAAAACTAGATTAAAATTTTAGCTCTTTCGAAACACAGACGGCATAATATTCCTGGCATAAATTTTCGCTAAATGAAGCTTCTAAAAGATTTCATATTGAAAGATAAATATCGGAGTTGAAAGTTACTATAAATATTTAGTTTGGTAGATTACAACTTTTGGATTTGGTATTAATCGCGCGGTTTTCGCCAGCTAAAGCGACAGCTCGTCCCGTTTCTCACAAACGCCGGCCCGATGATTTATATTCAGGCAGCATCGCGAACGCAATGAATCAAACCTCTTTTCTCTAATCGAGCGCCGTTCATCTCCCTTCTTTGGAGTTAGGCATAAGTCTCGTGACATCTGACGTTCGGATTGCATTATGAATCGTCGAAACTCACCGTTTGCATGATAACGATGCACGACGCGACGGCTCGGATCGGTGAAAGGTGAGAAAAGCCACGCGGTGGTTTCCCGGAGTAAGGAAGGATAGCTAACGCCTTCCTTCGGGAATTGTACACGAAATACGTCGACGTATAGCGTATTCATAGTTTTCGACCACCCCCGTGGAATTCGCGCATTCGTTCGGCGGAAGGTGAGAGCCGGATCGGCGGATGCTTCTTCCGTTTCCCTTTTCCCCCGTTCCCGTTCGTCTTCGTCGTCGCGATCGATTTGGGAATACGCGCGATGGGCAGAATCCCGAGAATTTCGTGCCGCGTCTTCTCGAGAGAGAACAACCTCGCGCTTGGTTACGAACTTGTCTTCCCCAACCCGCTGCAACAACGGTACATCGGTCGTAGCAGCTCTCCGAGTCCCTCGGGAATACGCGCGTTGATTACTCGTGAAGATTACGTTGCGAATTTGCGTTCTTCCATAAATGTTTCGCTCTGTACACTGAGGATATATCTCTCCTTAACGCGAACTGTTTGACGGCAAGTGTCAAGGTGCAGCTACTGATATCCCGGTATGAGAGAACGCGAAGAAATGTATAAGAACATTTAACATTTTGAAAATTTCGTAGGATTCCTATGTGTTATTTGAAAAATTCTTGCAAATCCGTGCGAGATACCGATATCGTGGCATTTAATCGTAGCGATGTCAAAGTAATCGCGAAGTTTGGCAATCGTCCTATTATACGCATTTTGCAACGAGAGGAAATTCTGGCCGAGTGGTGGTTTGACGAAAGGGGAGTTTTTCTCGTTTTTCCAGATTCGAATTACGAGATTCGCCTCATATAAAAGCAGGTTGTCGTATGATAGCACGTAAACAGCTAGAAATAAAGCAACGCTTGCCACGCTCGTTCGATTAGGAGATGCGAAATCTGATACGCGCGCTCGTATTACGATGTTGTCTGAGTATATCCGTAATATAACACAAGCGTAATTGAGAGGAGTATCAGATCTGCGTTTGATTATAAGCAACATGCACGCTAATCAGAACGAGTCGACACGAGGCGAGTGCTAATGATAATATTAAAGTTTTTCGTCGCACATGCTTACAGCTTGTAATTAGAAGGACAGATAGAGATTTCAATAAAAAGATCCCTACGTGAAATGTCAAGTATAATATACGTTTGTCGCTGTGTATCATTATTTTTATTTTGAAGAGATTTCAAATGCGACGTCGATGCGAAAGTGGCGGGATCGATGGAGACGGTAGTGCATTTTTATTCCGCATTGCTCCTTTTTGCGCGCTACCTTTCCGCCTTCTCTCTGTGCTGTATTATTCAAACTTTACATACGTTTGAGAAACAAGAATATTCGACGAGGCGGGATCGCGTCGATGCTTAAAAAACGCTCGTCTCGGGGGAGCTCGTTATTCCCTCCGGTATCAAAGTCGACGGGCATTTGCAATTGAAATTTTCGCGGTTCCGTAAAGTCGACCACGAACAAATTCAAACTTTACCGTGGTCTTATGTGAACGAACGATTCTACAATTACTTCCGCTATTTTTCCTTCAACATCTTGCTTTATCGTACGTAGAAAATTACGTGTCGCGTTAACAAACAAAATCAAAATACACGTTATCACGAATTTGTTTTCATTAATTTTAAAGAAAAAGGAAAAGAACAAAAAGAAAAAGAAAAATTGGAAAAAAATGGAATTCGCTAGAAATATTACAAATTTCAAGAAAGAAAACTTCGAAAAATGTTTGTCTCTTTCACGATGTTGTCTCACTCATCGGACTCATCGGATTATTTTTTGCGTAGACACTCGCAATATACGGGCCGACCTTTTCCGAGCTGTAGTCTCGCGGAAAGTGACGCGCTCGGATCCGGTGACCCGGCGACCGGGAGCACAGACGAAAGTCGGGTCTAAAGGACGCCGGAGGAGGAAACCAGTTTAAATAAAGACCACGCATGTGGGTCAGCCGGCGTGGCGTTGCGGCGTATGCGTATGCGTTACGCAAGCTGCGTCCCGCATCAGCGACGATGTCGCCGGTCGAGCTTTGCTAGCCGTGCGGGAGACGCGCGCTGTGTGCATAATATGCATCAGCTGAATCACTGTACACTATCCCCGAGAAGCTCATCCGAGCGTACATCACTGCAGGCGTAGAATAAAGGTATATCTGTGTCAGCCTGTAACAAGCTCTCCTTTGGTTGGTTGACACACACGGATGGAATAGCAAGAAATACTAATTATGGAATTACGAGAAATTATACTATAATTGCGGAGATGTACGTCGGAATGATTTTCGCGGATGATGTATCTTATTCGTCTTCGGTCTCCGTCTGTCTGTTCTTCTTGTTCCCATCTGTTACATCCTCGACTCAACGTCACGTGCAGCGGTCTAGCGTTCGTTTGACTATGACGATAAAATTAATAAGATTACTATTAACTCAAAGCGCCGTAGTGAAGAAACGCCAAAGAATTCCGATAGAACTTAAAAATATGATCAATTTCGATCAACGATGGAAATAAGTTTACAGTACAGTTTACTTTCTTGTATGTTTAATTTTAAGGATATAAACTTATTGAGATTTTGTATTTTTTTTAATTTATTTTTTCATACGAGATTATAGTATATATTGATCTTATGATTTTCAAATTAATGAAAAATTAAAAATCATGCGAATTTTAAGGACTAATTCGTCTCGGACGGACGAATACGGGCTAAGCTCGAAAAGGTTACACGATGTATTTGTAAGTAGCCGTATGTAAGAGCCGTTTATAGATCCGACGCGCATCTGCATACGTCGTGCTGAACTTTACGCGGGGCTGGACCGAAACTGACTGTTGGAATGGGACTCGGGACCACTTCAAACGAAAGCGCCACACGGAAATCTGCCCGCGAGCCTCACGAGCACACACGGGCTTCCGGTGCAGCTCTCTCTTTTGTGATACACAGAGAAGTCAGATGTCGGAGTAGGAGAAAAGCTTCTCCTCCGGAGAGTTATATTATATTCGGAGTGCACTCCCGGAGACGTTACATTTTCCGAGGTTATTCTGAATTTGCGTCGTGAAAGTCGCACAGGGAGAGAGGAAGGAGCGTATTTCGCGAGGTTCGATCGATCCTGAGAATTCGAAGTACACGGTACATCCGAATGACGATATTTTCGCGCAAAAATTGTTTTTTTTTTTACAAATATCCAATTATTAGAAACAATTCGAAGAAACGGGCTATTTCTTTAAGAGAAGGAAATAATTTTTTTCAGAATTTTTCAGGATAAACTTTGCGACGTGCAGCACATTTTACGTAATGCTCGCGATATGTAGGTCGAATCGGATGAGTGATGCGCGCTTTGCTTTTCATCGAGTACGATATATTGCAATGTTATTGCGTGAAAAGGCATACGAGCATATGATTAACACGATGGGAAAGACGGACGGTACGTGTCGCTTCGTTCCGCTAAATATCCATTTCCGTGTATGAGAATCGCCGCGCTATATTTTCTGAAATGACGCGACGAAGCATAACGTGAAGTGACGTGACGCGACATTGCCTGACGTGCCACATCGTTCTTCTCGACCTCCTTTTTTTCGAATGAGTTTCATCAACTGACTGTGCGTCGATGTTGTTTTCAAGGTAAACTTGAAAAAAATGCTATTAATCTTTTTTTTTTAGACGTATTTT